TATGCTTTTGAGCGCGTAACTCTTTAGTCCACCAATTTATATGAAAGTAAGGTTTTGCAGATCGTATTGGAAAGGTATTTTCACATATTTCTTGGATTTTTTTTATAAAATCTTCTGTAGCTTTATTTAGAGATCTTTTGTTGCACTTAGTTGGAAGGAAGAAGTCATTGGAAATGCGGATTGTTGAATTTGCTTAATAAAGTTCTTTTCTTTCTTTTTAGTAATTTTAAAATTATTAGTTTCATTAAAACTGATTCTGAGTCCTCTTTGATTTCAAAAGTAATATATTTATGATCTGAGTGAGAGTTGTCTTCTTCAATTTTGCGATTTGAAATCGAATTAATTAGGTGATGGGAAGTAACTACGAGATTTGGCCACCCTCTCCCATACATTGTTTCGAAAGAAGGTAAATCCGAGGCTTGGTAATGGATGACAAGATTATGCGAATTGAAGAATTCCTCAAGGGACTTTCCTCTTGGACTTGTGGAATTGTAGCCCCAAAGCTGGTTGTGTGAATTGAAATCTCCACAAATTATGTGTGGACCTTCGGAAGGAAAAACAAGATGGATTCTAAATCTTGAAGCAAAGGAGAAATATCCTCGGAGGGAGATGCATAAATACTTGAAATAAGAAGTTGAGAGTTGGAACTATTAAGACTGATTGTAACTAGGTCTCTTTGGCTGTAATTAGAATTGGGTGCCAGCTATGATTAAAACTGATGATAGCTGCTCTGGGATGTTGATTGGGCGACTGAGGAGAATATTGAAAGACATTCCAAGACGTTGGAATGCTACTTACTTTCCCTTCGATACAATAGGGTTCTTGGATTAAAACAAAGTCTTTATGGTTATGAGTTAAGAATTCTGCTAGATGATCAGAAGCCGTTTTTGCTCTTTGTAAGTTGATTTGGAGAAAACGAATTGAAGAAAATGGAATCGAGTTTTTTAGCAAGGTTGGGGGTAGATAGAATATTTTGTACATCACTGTCCACGTTATAATCTTGAGTTGAAGCGTTATTCTTTAAATTGCGCTCTTGCATGTTAATATCAACTGAAGAATTATTAGTTATGGATGATGGCAACATGTGAGGTTGTGGCTTTGTCCGGGTACAATAATTTGTTGAGCTGACTCCTGTAACGTCTGGCATGTTCTTTCATGAGCACCGTGATCAGTTAGGCAATGAAGAACCAGTTTCTTGGTTACTTCGCACACAATTTACACAGAGTTTTACGTTTGAGGTACACTCTCTATGGGAATGTTGTTTTGCGCAGATGGAACAGCAGGGAGGATTTTGACAGCTTACGACTATTATGTCCAAGACCCTGACAATGAAGGCAACGGAGAAGTGAAATGTAGGGAAGGAAGGAACAAGAGTTGAATCTAATAAAAACTCTTGACGAAGTAAAACAGTCTAAATCGGAAGAAAATTCTACAATCCAATTTGTATTTTCAGATCGGTGAACTCGAGAACACGAAATATCAAGATTATTATTTGATGTAATTTTCAGAAAAGCTGATTTTGATATCTTCAGCAGCCGCTAAAGAGGGTACATTAAACACTATGAGTTTGGTACTTTTGGGTTTTGAAGTACGAACAGCTATGAAGAATTGTAGTTGTGAATTTTCAACGATTGAGCGGTGTAAGTGTTCTAAGTCTGCTTTCTTTTCGACACCGATTAAAGCTCATTAGACTTAGTAGTACGAATATTATTGATATGAATACCCAGTTTTTGTGGATTAAGTGTCGAACTTAGTTGGTGTCTGATATCTTCAGATGTTCTCTCTGAATCTTTAGGTTTCAGGAGTAGAATATGATCTCTGAATTGACTTTTTGGAGTCTGTTTCAAAGAAATGTTTTTAGCAGCAGCAACGGCGTAGGAATTTGGGGTTTGTTCTAGAAACTTTGTTTCGAATAATTTTTTAACTTCGTGTTGTTGTTGCTGCAAATGTTCCTTCACTTCAGTGATAACTGTAGTATTTGAATGCTGAAGAGACAGTTGCTCTCTCAGTTCCGAAATTGTACCTTCGTGCTTCGTTAGAGTAAGTTCTTGGTCTGCCACTATTTGACGAAGAGCTGTTAAATGGACAGAAATCTCTTTATGTTCTTGGGTATTAAGTTTTCTATTTTTTGCCGATGTTTAGAATATCTTTAATTTTATCAGTAATTCGTAGTAGAATATCATTCAATCTGGAGGAAGTCAGCATTTTCAGGATTGCTAGTTAAAGAATGTGGAGATGTTTAATAATGATGGTGAGGAAGACCTATCTTTAGAAGCCATCGATAAGAGTTTACAATTTCATAGCTCACATAAAACAAAAATGACAATAAATCAGAAACTATTCATAAGCAGTAGCAGAAAATTACTAGTACATGAAGTTAACAAAAATAAATAAATATGAGTAAATAAGTAGTGAATAATTGCTTATTAGAATAAATGTTATTACTCACATAAAGTCTGACAAAAATAATTATAAATTCAGGTGTTATGCAGTTCCAATGTTTCTTAGGAAAACGAAGTATATATATATAAAGAAAGAAACTCAAATTAAAAAAAATACATAGAATTATCTGTTGGTAATACTATATTATGTCAAGTCTTAACCAAAGGTTAATTAATTAGATAACTGTGAGTTGTCAGACGTACATTGTATTAAAGTCGTTAAGAGGAGTTCTAAACCTTATTCAGACAGGTATTTTCTGCAAGTGAGTGTTAAGTAATCAGTATTATAACTTAGAAAACAGATACAACAGTATGTAAAAACTTTTCAGAGTTAGGCAAAACACACAAAACACAATGTGATAGGAAAGGGGAGTATAAATAAGTATGAAAAGACACACTAGTTACATTAACACATGTACATACGATTCTAAATACCAGATAATAATAATAAGAATAATTGTAATGAAAATAAAATAATATTAAAATGAATTTTAGAAAAAAGTATATTTTTTCTCAAAGTACTAGACTGCAGGAGTTAAAAATAAACCGTGAAAACTGGTAAACTGTGCAGAGTTCTGCTTACAAGTGAATAAAAATAGTAATTCAATAATTAATTAACTAAAAGATAAGCGCATGGTATCAAACTGATAATGTGATGATCCGTGAAGATGCAGTATTTAAGCCCGTTTCATTCAGTGCTTTTATCCTTTTAGAACTTTGGTTAAAGATTTAAAACACAATTGTTGTTGAAATTGGGCAAAAATGCTCCGCCGATGATGAAACTGAGGAAAGCCGTGTGCAATGAAAGGGCGCTGTTCTTATTAGAGCTGTAACAATAAGAGCACGGTCGTGGGCATACAGATACAGTTCAAGGTCGCCTCCCAACTGGTTTATGAGGGCAAGTATGTGGGAGGAAAAACTCTCTGTAGAAGATGACGGGGGAAATGAACACACTTGCACGTTAAATGATGTAAAATAATTAAAATAAACTCCTCAGAAGAAGGGACGGGGAAGAAATTTTCAACGAAGATAAAGTGTTTAAGAGCCTACCTCTTGAGTACGATTTCAGCGTTGATAGTCTTGTAAATAAGTTATAATCCAGGAAAAACTTAATTAGTTGAGCTGAATATGGCTTCGCTTAACCACTTTCACAAACAAAGGAATATCGGCCGCGTTTCACGAGAACAATAAAAACTAAGTATTTGCTGAAATAATGGTCGTAGAAACTAAAGATTTGCAGCACTGTGTTCGCGGTATGTTGCTGAAACTTGTGCTATACAATTGAAATCGACTTTTGTTTTTAAACGACACTTACAACAATACAAGCGGGAGCACGTGAAACTGCAGTCTACACAGCTGCGAGCAAGCCGTTCTCGCTATTAATTTAAAGTTTATTCCTATATATTCCTGTAGATGAAACACAAGTTGACAATAGGCTCTATTCAACAAATGCAAACTTTCTGTCAGAATTTTCGGCGCTTTAAAAACTGTGTAACGTGTGTACGAGTCAGTTTCCCTTAGAAATTCCTCCACGGAAGCGTCCGTCTTCTTAGACACATTGCCCTCCAGTACTCTGCCGTAATCAAATTAACCAAAAAGAGATTAGCTGACGAATTGGTAACGGGACCCACTTCTACATTTCGCCGTAAGCTAGTTTTAATAATTTCTCTGAGACATATAACAAAACACTTTAGCAAAGGGTATAGATCCTACATTGACGGGAACAGCTACTGTGCATGTATACTTGTACAAGGTACTCTGTTTTCAAATCAAACACCTAATTTAGTTCAGATGAATGATCTAATGTTCTATTTTCTTCATGCTTTCTTCGAAGTCTACCAAGAAGGCATCTTTTTCCATTAGCAGATAGCCTTCCTGCGCTTTGTTGCATTTAATTAATCAAACACACAAATACTTTGCGTTGAATTATTCGATTCTATTTACTAAAAATAGTTGAGGAATGAAGACATCGCCAGTAAGCAGCAAACAAACAAACTTGCTAGATAACGGAAATCATTCAAAACATAGTTAGCTCAATTTAGCTTACAGAAATCAGAAATTTAAAGTGCAGCTGAATTTGAAGTCAGACATTTTACCAAATGCTAAAAGTAGTGCACTTAAAAAACCACAGAGCTTTTAAGAGAACAAAATAAATAGAAAAAAAAAACTGTAGAAGGAAAAATTGCAAAAGCTTTTACAGAAGCTTTACAACTCAGTGATTCTGACAAACGGATAACTGCTTTTTTATTGATGAAACTAGGAGACAAAATTATTACAACTTTTATTCAAGGAAAGATCTGCTGAAAAAGAAAGCTCTTTTGCTTTTAGAATCTAAATAATACAAAAGATTTGAGATATCTAGCAAAAACAAATAATAAATGTGTAAAACAAATGAATAAAAGCAATAATAAAGTCAAAAAGCATTCCAACTTTTAAATTGTGATGACGTAAAAAGGATACACAACGTTTGATTTACGGAAAATAGCATGTCCTAATAAAACTAATAAAAAGTACAACTTAATGTTTTTTGATAAAAGTAATGAAATGTGCGATATTTACCAGTTCTCAACAAGCTTTACACATTTTTTAAGATAATGATGAATTATTCGTGAATAATACTTATTTAACATGTTGCTTAGATACATCTCCACTACTCAGCTCCTTCAAGAATTCATAACTTCAGGTATCCACTCATCTGTCGGGCCCACGAGCGGCCGAGCGATAAAGTCCCTGAACACTGGTAGTTCGGTCCGAGGTTCAAATGCAGCGAACGGGCTGGCTGCGTGGGCGTTTTCGTGGTTTTCCCTTGTGTAACGTGTTTATACGAGCCAATTTCCCTTAGAAAGTTCACCACAAACGCATCCCTCCCTTTAGGCAGAAAGCGCTCGACGCTTTTCCTCAACCGCATAAACCAAACCAAAATCATTCATCTGTCTTTCGCCAACAGCGCTCTCATTGTCTAATGACTTCAAAACTTAAACGCAACAAATTTGGACATATACAGGGTGTTCGGGATAAATTTGACAGTTTCATAAGGAAAAAGAAAATCCGCTTGTATGAGTAGTAGCGAAGGTCTTCATTGAGTGCAAGCTTCATAGAGAGGCTGCAACATTCATTTCACGTGACAAAGCCCGAATTCCAATGCCAGAGTTCTTCAACACCTGTTCCTGCAGATTTGCGAGGAATTCTGCTGTACGAAAGCTATCAGATCGTCTGCTAGGGATCTTTCTTCTTGCTACATCCTCGTAGACACCATTGCAAGTCTCTAGTTCATGCCTGATTGCTTTTACTGTGTTCAGGGAGGATTGGGCAGCAGTCATAATATCCTTATTTTGATGGCCGGCACGAATCATCATGATGCAAGTTATTCTCTTCCATGATTCAGGTGGGTTCCAGTCATCGATTTCTTTCTGACATCTTGCATATGAATGAAGAAGGGTCCAAACTTTTAAATGACGAGTAGTGTGTGTTAATACCACGGAATAATATAATCAATGATAAATATGCCAAATTTATCCCGAACAGCTTGTATTGAAAGCTGAGGGCACTGTTTTTTAAGTTCTTTTCAAGTTGCGTGTACCAAATTTAAAAGCCTTTGAAATAGCACATATTTTTATTATATTTACTAGACTTATATTACAGCCTTGAAAACTAGACTAACAAACTAATGAAAGTAATAAAAAATATTATAAATAATTTTCTTTAAACTAATCTAATACTATTCAGGTACATTTATTTTTAATGCCAAAGAAAAAAAAACTGTACAATCTAATGCAAAATTACGTTTCAGCTTATATTTATATATTTATTTATTTGTTTATTGTCGAAAATTAATCATAAGTATTTTACAGAAGTAACTGATTTGACCTAATTTTTTTTTTCTATACTTAATATTAAAAAATTCATTTAATTGTTTAATCAAGTCTATTAATATAAAAACAAAAAATATGGCCTTTTGAAAAACTTAATATGAACTGAAAGTGACTTTGCTAAAAATTAAAATGCTACGGCCTGCAATGCGTTATACTGTTTTACTTATTTTGAATTTTACATTGGCATTCTCTTCCAATTTGAATAATACATCTAGTCTTATCATAGAAAACTAGAAAAAGAACAAATAAAATTTAATGAAAGAGATGGTCAGCAAATTTGTCAAGCAAATCATATTGAAAATACAGTCAGTTATATGTAAAATAATAGCAAAAAAGGCCAGTTTCATATCATTAACCCCTTAACTGCCGCGGGCGTATATATACGCCTTGCTCAGCCGATGCGTTAACTACCCCAGATGCGCCCAGATGCGCAGCCGATGCGTTAACTTTGCGAATAATTTTAGGTGTAGCAGCGCAAAGCAAATGATAGCAGTTTGGAAGGACGTATATATACGCCTGGGGCAGTTAACGCATCGGCTGAGCAAGGCGTATATATACGCCCGCGGCAGTTAAGGGGTTAAGTCTTCAGCAAAGGATATTATTAACCAGCGAGAGTGTGAGGCAACATCCCAGAATCTAATTCTGAAGAGACATAAAAATGTTAAATACGAAATTTTGAATATTGTTCTTGCTTCTAATTTTATAATTTAAGTATGTATAGTTGAAAAACTACGCAAGATTTTATATATTTTAAATACTATAAGAATATTTTGGGTATTCTTTCCTTATTCCCTGTGCACTAATCAGGCTCTGCTAATATTATTCAGACTTTTGTAAGTTAAATGCTTGATGTGTGAAATTAAGAGAAGCAGATAAAACATAGGACTGTTCAGCATAACATAGATCTGACTGAATGTTTCAGATGTAGGAATTCATACACAGCTAACTATTATGGTTGCTCCCGGTTTTCAGTAGTCAAGCATTCTGTTAAACAACTTACGATTAAAAAAGATTAACCTGCTTTTAAACTTCACAAAACTATTAAAAGTAAGACTAGGGTTGCGTATGAGATCAGAGAGAGTAGTCTTAAACACAAAGAGAAATTAAGCTTACAAACATCTACTGAAAACAAAAGTGAGGAAAAAGGAATAGAAGTTACCAAAAATTCAATAATATTTTTGAGGAAGCTCACTATTATTCAAACTATTAATACCATTGCGGTACTTACGTATTAACGCAACCAGGCCAAAATTCGCATAAATCGCCAAATTTGGCGACCCTACTTACGGCAACCCTACGTGTTATACGTAGTTTTTCGTAAAGAAATTATTTTTCTTACTGGTTAGATTGAATGCTCTGAAATACTTTAACTATGGGTATTTGGGATCTGCCTACGAGTGAAAAGATGCGCGCCGTTACCCTCATGGAAAAAATTTGCAAAAATATCAAGGAAGGAAGCATCGTTTATTCGGATTGCTGTAAAGGATACAATACAAGTTAGTTCGAAAATGCTGGATTTCTGCATGGAACTGTTAATCACAAATATAACTTTGTGGATCCCAACACGAGCGTTCACACACAACATGTAGAGCGCATGTGGGGCTCAGCCAAATGGAGCAACAAAAAACAGAGAGGAACAGCCCGTCATCATCTTGACTCATACCTTATCGAATTTATATGGCGCCAAGCTCAAGCTGTTAATGGCGAAGACGGTTTTCAATCAGTGCTAAAAGCAATAGCCAAAAGATTTCCGCCGAAAAAAAATAATTCTGCAACTTATTCAAATTCGAAACCGGAAGGGTTTAATTGCTCTTTTATATTTTAAAACAAAATACTAATATAAAAAACTGTATTAAAAATTATCTGTAATTAATAAATGTACATTTTCTTTCTATTCATACTTTTTTACTCAAATTTACAAATCGCGCCAAACTGGTTGCGATAATACGTAAGTACCAAAATTGGTAGGACATCAAAGGAAATAAAAATTGCCTAAAATACTATTGATAGAATTTATAGATTAAATTTTCATCTTATTTAGTATTTAAAACATATTTAGCCGTTATGAATGAAATATTTTAAACTCATAGAAAACTTGGAAACATTAAACAGATACCACATGTCATTTTCATCAGTTTCATTATCTATTTAGATAGTGATTCTGATGAAAATTAGAGTTTTAGAATTCAACATAACAATATATGGGATTTCACAGTACAAAATTTCTCAGCGTTTTCTTTCGTTCGAAGTCCAATTTTTTTTTTTTTTTTTTTTCAAATTTCTAGTTATTAAAGCAAAAACTAACACAGAAAATAGTTACCTTAAATAGGTGTAATTCCTTAACATACATATAATAGTTAATCTTTTTATAAGGGATTGTTCCCCTCCTTTCAGCATGCTTTCGTTGGCAGCAAGCTGAACACACATTCATGAGCTCTGGAGTTCGAATCCCGGCAAGGGTTTTGCGGATTCCTTCGATTTCCTCGCTTTGAAAAAAGTCCCTAATGGTTATATAGTGGACCTCGAAGTACAAGCTAATGAACGATACTTCTTCACCACCAGGATTTGGCGATTGGGTTCTCTCATCCCCAGTCACCCTAAAAAACGGGGAGTACGTAAGGTATTTTGTCCCTCCTTTCAACATATCTTCATGGTGTAGCTCTCCGTGTATTCGGGAGGTTTAGAGTTCGAATCCTGGCGAGGGTACTGTGTATTAATTCGATTTCCTTGATTCGAAACATTGTTAATGACTCTATACTTTATTTCAGAGAGCTATTTAGTTTAGTCGTAATACTGAGAGAATATTTACGGAAGTTAGAACTGCAGTAAAACTCAGGTTCATGCAGCATAAAATGCAGTGTAGCAAAATTTAATTTCATTAAGCAGTCCTGTTACACAAAAATAGACTAGTTTCAACCTGCAACAGCAAATAAAACCCTGCGTAGCAAAACTAACAACTACATGTAAAAATTGTAATGTCGGATTCAACTTAAAATGCTTTCTTCCATTCCACCTAAGTAAGAATGATTAGCAGTGGATTATACTATTTATTGTCCTGTTTTTAGGACAGGCTGTATTACAACGAATAAACTAATAAACATTTAATAAGTTTTTTTTTTTTTTTTTTGGTTTCATATGTACATACAGACTAAGAGAAACTCTTATTTAAGAATTTATTAAAAAAATATTAATTTTTTCAACGCTTAGTATGTTATGGGCTAACGAACTTCAATGAACAAAAATTCCGCTTAACTGTAACGATGGAATAAAATGAGATTGAATCACTAAATCCGAAATCTGCTCATTTCGATGTTTTAATATGAAAATTTTTTTTCACCCTCTAATTACTCATAAATAATTCGTAAATTATAATGAAATATTTAGGGTGTTCCGAAAGTCGTGAACATCTAAATTAAAAAAAAAAAAACTTTATAACTTCTAAAATGGGTATAAACAACAAATTGTTTCAATGGATGACATCCCTAAAGTAATTTATTGCTTCAAATTTCATCTGCAGTATGTGCTGTTAGTTCCAATATCGTGTGGTTGGAGCAAGATAGAAATGAGTTTTCTATAGCTGGCAATAATTGCTGCCACCCGTCCCGACGTTGAAAGAGAGATATTTAAGACGGGTCAAAGATGAACAATGACTTATTCTCAGATGGTATGTGCAGGACAATTCATTTGCCAATCATTAACGAGACGCATTCGATGGGTGGCATATAGGGCGGCTCATGTAGTAGTGAGAACTTCAGAGCAGTAAATAATTGCTGAAGGCCGCATGATATATGCGGTCTCGATAGCCTATTCTCATTGTGACCTGTTTAAACTTAGTTACAGGCAAGGATTGAAAGTAATGGATTACCAGAAGTTTGACTCTATCGGGAATGCGTGTTAGGCTAGTGCAGAGATAAAATCAAAGGACATTCGGCAATAACTCCAGGTTATAGACCAGTATGGCGATGCATAATAGAAGTGTCATGATATCTGTCATTACGGTGATGCTTAATTCGGACATGGCTATCGGGAATTTGAAGGTAGAATCGAGACTCTTCAGTGAAGTGTCGATTCGTTTGCCCCTATGGAATGTTCAACGCGTGATTGTCGCCGCATATATCTATGGTGTAAAATCAACGGTAATCGCAGCAATAAACTCCATGCAGAGCTTACTCTTTTCTGCAGAAAATGTCTAATAGTTCTTGCTAATATAGGTTATTGCATAGCAGATCCTAATTCTTAAAAGTGAGTTCGTGAAGTTGACGTGCAATCTTGTTATTTTCGTTTTACTTTGACTTCTAGATTCGTCAGCTTTCAAAAACATGCAGATTAGTTTAAGTGCAAATAAATTTCAAGTTTCTAAGTTTTCTACAGGGATACACTCGCCGTTCAATCTGCTTTACGCATTTTTTTTTACTGTTGCAATTTAGCTGTTATAAGTTCCATGAGTCACTATTTCTATCTTGAGCGTTGAGTCTTCTATGAGCCAAGGATTCGGTTAGGTTTATTTATTTTGTAGTCTTCTTTTTTATTTAGTTATGACGTGTATTTTTTACCCGCAAGCTGTTAATATTTTACTTAGTTGAGAAACAGTTAATCAGCAGTCAGATGAGACAAATTTCCTCCGACAGTCTACTACCGTTACTTTGGGTGCTGGTTTAAAGATAATAGCGTAACATTTTATTGGTGAGGCTGGTGCAAATGTTCCCGCCGTTTCTTCTGTTCCTCTTGTTATTCATAGATTATATATTCCCATCACTTTCGCTCCATTTCATCCAAAACCAGCACTGATGTGTCAAATTCATAACCTTATTTGAATGACTGCCTTTATTTTTCAACAAGTCATAATGAAGCTTTTCTCACAGGTAACAGGTGAGAGCAGGTTCGGACACCCGGGCGGATTGCATAGACTAATCGGGTATGGTTCGAATCCCCCAACTATCTAAAGCTACTCTCAAGACATTGGGCACACAAGGGCAAATTATCGGATTTTTCTGCATGCGTTGCATAAAGTAGAACATAAAAATACAGGAAACAGATCTGAAGACACAATACATTCCATATTAACTTTTGATGAAATAACATTACTTTAAATGCTCATTGTTGAGAAAATTTTGCTACATGCCAAAACTAACTTTGTAAATAAACATCCGCCTGGTTACATCGAATGTTAACACATTGCTACATATTCTAGTAACACTGTATATCTTATAATATGCACTGCATTGACCATTGCATTGTACATAAAGCACATTTACAAAACTCATTGCTGTTACATATTATGCTGAACATTACTCTTACAATTCAACATAGGTTCTGAATAATGTAATTACCTATATAAGACATAACTTGATTATATAGCACATAAATTGGTTATATAAGCTTTTCACACAAAAGAACAATGAGAAAACACACAATTCTAGTTCCTAAATCAACTTGCTGTTGTCCCTTTCTGTAATGATTCTAGATGGCGTTAGAGCACACATTATTTGCGTGGTGAGATGCAATGCTAATCATTCGCTTATCCTATCCATGGTGAAAATTTCAAACGAATTTGATGAGTATTTCTTAGCCTTTTAACTGTCATGCCCGAGATTATCTCGGGCACAGCACTGGTGTTCGAAAATGTCACGCCCGAATATTTCTCGGGGTAATTTTTTTTTTTTTTTGAGTGCATCGTATTGTCATACCCGAATATATATCGGGAGATGTTTATTTCGGCTACATTTGGTTTTTCCAATAAAAGAATTTGACAATTTGTGTACCCAAATCATCAAAATAACTTGACAGTTAAAGGGTTAGTCTTGAAAACAACTAAGCATTGCTAGAAGTGTGAAAAGTTTTGAGAAGTAGTATTTGTAGCTTTGATGTATTTCCAGTTCCAGTTTGTAACGCAAGAATCATTCACTTATTTATGTACAGATTTATGCATGTATGCGTAAATTTTTACTAAGGAAATAAGACGAGAAAATAAAGACTTCAAAATAGTCCTTGATAAACTTGTACAAAAGTGAGCACTTCAAAAAAGTTCACCTTACAGTTAAGAACTTTGACAGAATCAAGTTTTCGACTTGCTTCTGTAAACGTAGTAGAGGGAATATGTTTTGAAATGGATCGTTTAGAAGGATATTCTCGCCAGTCTGCGAAAGAAAAGAATAGTTTTATTTCGTGGTCTTAAATCTGCTTTATTGGGAAATTCGATCTTAGATTGGTATTAGAGATTTTTTTCATATTTAAACCATTAAGTGATATTATAAAAGTATATAAGAGTTTTTGTTTTTCAATTTTAATTTAGTTTTTGACCTGAAAATCAATATCTCATCACTTATACTTTACTGTTAACATGTGAAATTAATTCTCGGAAAACGTTTCTTATTACTCTGATTGCAGACGTATAACACCGACAGTCAAGTAGGAGATTCCGGTGCTTGTGCGACGGCTCTGCTTTGCGGCGTCAAAGGCAGATTCGAAACCGTGGGTTTGGACGACGGAGGAATCTACAACAGATGTGACACTAGCTTCACATCAAGGGTCTACTGCCTGGCTGACTGGGCACAAACTGAAGGTAATCATTATTAGTATGAACATAAACATAATTTCACAAAGCTTAGCATTTTATGAAAAACAGAAAGATATATTTTTTCATGCATGCACCTTTTAATACGCTACAAGTTAATCTTAAAGATCGGCGACTCTAATTTTCAATAAAAGGGATTTAATATGCTTAATGTGCGTGCTTTTCTTTTCTCATTTTCTACTCTCATTTCAACAAAGCATAATTAATAGAATAGGTTTATATTAAAATGCACTGGAACATATTTTATCTTGTGTAATACACTAATTAGTATCATTCTGTTTAGTAACTCATTCAGCGTGAGTCTTTGTGCCGTAATTGGTAGCATATCCGTCCAGCAATCGGAAAATCCGGAGTTCGCAGCCCTTTAAAGGAGAGATTTTTTTATCGCATTCATTTGGTTAAAAAAATTTCTGCTTCAGTCCCAGTTCCTTTTCTTTATTCTACAATTATCGCAATAGCATTGCTTCTTTATCTTTATTTTTGATAAAGCTTTGAAACGAATTTCACCCCACCAATGGTCAAGTGATTAAAAGTGCTAAATAACGTAGTTCGATCCGGAGTCAAACGCAACAGAACGAACTGGCTGCATAGTTGTTTTTCATAGTTTTCTCCTTGTATAACTGACAATGAGCCAGTTTCCCTAAGAATGTTCTACACGAAAACATCCTTTCGCTTCGGCAGATAGCCCTCATGTACTTTGACACAATCAAATAACCTAACTTAAAAAAAATTCAACTTTGATGATATTCTTTGATTAAAATCAGTCATATCTTTCTAGTTCTGTTACTTTGTTCATTTATATTAGCTAAATGATTTGCGTGGATTTTCCGAAAATCCAACTTTTAAATTAGTATTTTCACCTATTAATAAATAATGCAAGCATTTTCATTTTTCATTTGAAATTTTATGTAAATTCCATTTCATTATCACTTTAGCATTCCGCCTCAAAACAAACGATGCATAACAGTATTCCTGGAATATTACATCCCCCACAATATTGGAAAACTATGCACCATATTTTATCACTGATTTGATCTCAGGCTACACCATTGAACTCGCGGTGTGTCTTTATGTTCAAGACAGTCATTTACAGTGTTGCCTTCTATAGGTTTGTTGAGATTTCCTTGAGTAACTAAACTAGATAAAAAAAGGAAACTTGATATTAATTGAGTAAAATAATAGTTCTTACAGGAAATTAAAACAGGTGTAAACAACAGAAAGAGAAAACGAAAGATAAGGTGAAATTAACCTTAACACTTAGGAAACAGCACAGACTATCCAGAAAAATCCCTCACACAGCAAAACCTGGAGCAGTATTCTCGAAGCAAGAAATTCATCAGAGTAGAACAAACAAAGAACTTTGATTCCACTTACTCACGGCCAATTACAGTCTCCTGTTTATAAGGTTGTTCTAAGGAAAAGGCATGCGCTTCTTCAAGCCTCGAGGTATGTTAGGGTTTTGAAAAAGCATTTTTTGGAAACTTTCGAAATGTCACCATATAATCGTTAAATATTGTTTTCAGAAAAAAATTTGCAAATATTTTTAACACTCGGTATGAGAAATTCTGACTTTCGCCGATTCTTTCTAAATTATTTTGGAATTACAAGGTAAATTGATAATATAATATTAAACTTATTAATTTAAGAAGGGAGAGCTTCCTATTCAAGTTATACAATTAATATAAACAAAGCAAGAGCCTTAATATCTCTAATTTTTATTCGAGCCTGTCAGTGGCCTTTCAACGTAATTGAATTTTTAATTATAAACCATCGGTCCATTTTAGTCGGGATAATCAGAATTCCATTGTAAATCGAAACCTTTGAAATATATGATTTACATGAACAGACTGCTAGAGGCTTAGTGATCCTACAGATGATACTGCTGCAGGAGAAACTTCGTAAGATTAATAATAGTTAAAATTGTAATATCCTCGCTTAACTAATAAACTTTAATTAAATCGCTGGCGCTGAGGAGTAAATGAAATCGGAAATCGATATATAATCAAGAGCAAATTTTCCCAAAACGTGTCACATTTCTGCTAAGTATTATAATGATCCATCGACAGCTTGTTTACAATCTTCGATATGATTAAATGCATTTGGGAGACAATACTGGCACTACCGGAGGAAATGTATTCGTGTATAACTAAGTAGCCAGAGTATGTTTAGCTCATCTGGAAATCTACAGATACTGAAAAACGGGAAATATATAATGTATATTAGTGGAATATTAAAATATTTATTTTCAAAAAAACAGGCCTCCCCTTCCCAAGAAAAGTAGTTCAACATAAAAATCAGTGCAAATAAATTAAAATATCGCTGACTGTAAATTCAATTTGATTTTGAAATTTATTCTCAAATACATTTGGAAAACATTTTGCTCCTAGTTACTAATATACTCCTTACACAGGCTCTCGTATACGTCGAAGATTTCTATATCTGATCTGAAGAATTTCTTGAAATCATTTGTAATTTAGTATATTCGATTTTTGGTTGTGAACGCGCTAATTTTATTCCATATTTCAAAAGCTCTGAATAGAAATATAATGCAAGCAAAAATTACCAAATTTGCAATTCAGGGAAATGACGAAATACATTATGTAGTGAAGACACAGAAAATCCGTACAAGGTTCAATAAAGTACGAAATAAAGTTTATTGAAAATCTTCACTATGAAAGTTTCCCCAAAGGAGTTAAAATGTTAAATTGCAGATGTGATAAAAAAAACCATAAGTCAAAGCTGAGTAGTTGGACTAGGAATAAGATAACTGCTTGGTGCAGTCTAATTCAGGGATTCTCAACCGTTGGTACGCAAGAGAAAAATAGGTGGTACGTAAAAGGAACAAAGTATTTTTAACTATTAATTTAAAAAACCACGTGAAGAAAAAGAGCAATTGATAGAAATTTCCTATGATCGAACGCTAACTGAAGATTTCGAAAATAACACACTTGTTAGCTTTTGGCTCAAAATAAAGCTATTGCATTTTTAATGCTTTCTTGCACTACTTGTTTTTGTGAACAAGGATTTTCTTCCATGTTATATTTGAAAAATAAATAAGAAAAATATTAAAAGTGGATCCTAATTTACGGTTAAAGCTATTCGAGATACGACCAGAAATAAAGACACTGATCTTTCTTAAACAGGCGCAAATTTCACGCTAAATTTTAGAATTAAAGTATTCTAACTTAAATTTTGATAATTAAAATGGTAACCAATTTTTAATCTCATATTTTTTATGTGTGCATGTTTAATAGCCAATAGGTTGTGAAAATGGAAATATATATATTTTTTTAATATTTCTATTGAGGAATTAAAAAATAATCATTGTAAAACATGTAGTGGTGGTACTAAAGATTTTCAATTTTTGTTTAGACGTTACGGGTTAGTCAAAAGGTTGAGAACCGCTGGTCTAACCATTTCCTGTACTACAAATTAGCGAATGTGTTGTTTGCTGCATAAAATTTCCTAATCCTTATTAAAATATTCATTAACCATGAGCTAGAAAATACATCTTCTAGACTTTTTATATATGGTTATTTTGCTATTGGCTAATCATTCACCGATTTAATGCGATACAAGGCCAACATTCGATCAAGATTAATTTAATCTTTCTTGGCTCCAAAAATTTTGTTTCTTTAAACTTTCTTTTAGAAGGATTTATATTATTTCTTCGAGGGAAAGCACATGAAGATTAATTTGCCCTATTCCATCCTTTAGTTATATGGAAAGGTTTCCATGGTTCTGTAAGAGACTGAAATGGGTAATGCAAATGAAATAAATAGAGTATGAATAATTTTTCTAACTGCAGTTAATAGTGTCATCATATTAATTAGAATATTTATTTACACACAAAAATGGCATGAAAGTTATTAAAACAAATATTTTTAAATAAAAATTGCATGCATTAGAAAAATAAAAAAATATTATCTTTAACCCAGTTTTTTTAAACATATCACAACCTCTTTTATTGCCTTTTCTTAGAAAGTTAAACCTTAAAACGTTGTTCTGTGAATTTTCCTTTCATTAATATCATCATCTACATAACCTTGAACATTCAATACGTTTTGACAAGGGATAAAGGCCATAGTTTTGTACCAAGCTTTTGTACTTCTCTTACGTTTTCTGAAAGATAAACGTTTCTGTTGATAACGTCACTGCCCTTAGCAACATAGGAGTGAATTTAATTTAAATCAAATATTTTCACTAGGCAAGAGATTCTGTAATGCCTGCAAGCAATTACAGTAAAAAATACTTTGAAAGTAGGAATGACATTTTACATAGAAATATACTTTTTATTTTAAGCAGTTCTAACATATTTTCTGCTTCCTTTCTCATCTCTCTTTGGCCAGTATGCATCCTAAAAGTCGTTTTTTTTAGCCCAAAGGGCGTTAGCCTAGAAGGACTATTAATTTCGTTTTGGCATTTTGCTTCGATACAATTCCTGCTTTGATTCACTTTTCAAACTGTTGCCATCAACTATTACAGTTCTCTGTATCAGAAATTCTAAAGATATGCTCCTTTTAAAATTATTTTGCGATATTGCTGCTGAACTGAATCTTTACATGAACTTACTGAACATGGTATTTAATAAATAAAGGTGACATACAAAACGTTAAAAAACGCCTCTTTGGACGTAATGTAAAATCTAAAAGCTTTTAGATTTTTAGTCCAAAGGGGTAATTTGCCCAGAAGGACTAAAAATTTCATTTTGGCATTCTGCATTGGTTCACTATAAATGTCGGTTCACTTTTCACATTGTTGGCAATAAATATTAGAGTCCTGTATTATATTTAATGAAATTAAATAATGAAGAATCTGCATAAATGTATATGTCTCGCACTGGAATAAAACAACGGTATCTAGAGCCATAAGATTTTGAATATGGAACGTTTCCACCCGAATATGTTCGAATTTGTTTTATTATGTATTCCATATTTTGTAAAACTTTAACGAATTTTTTATTAACAAACTCAACGATTTCAAAGCGA